GACGAGATAGATTCATTTTCTCTTTTTAATCTCTTGTAGCCAGATTTGGAGCCAGTTATTTGTACTTTTTGCCAAACTAAAATATAAAAAATGGAATATTTGCTGCCAAACAGGGTTTTTATGCCTTCTTTTCAAATCAAATTGTGTACTAAATGTAAGTCAGTTATTATCTATTTTTCATGCTTGAAGCAGGTCGCGTGACAACATCTGGGCTGTGAAGTAGGGATCAAGGATGGTGCATTATAATATTACCCCCTGTGGGCTAGAACCATTAGTGACATTGAGGCAGTTATCAATTTCCCATCATTTGCTTCACACTTTCATCAAGCAGCGACGCTTTCTTTTGAAGACGCTTTCTTTTTTTCTCACTCCCCTCTTTTTTCCCAACCTCTGACTAGGTATTACTGTCTAGATTCACTGAGGCACCAGCGCAGAGTATGACAAAGCTGAGAAGAAAGTTCCCTGCAGGAAACTTTCCAAGAAGATATGACTGGCTTTGCCAAATAAATGTGCCCGAGCAATGGCTGCAGCTGGACTGAATAGTCATCATAGTGCCTGTCTGGGTGACACTAAGGGCTGGGTTTGCAGAAAAACATAGGTGGCATTGTTGAAACAGAAGCACAAGTTTTTAAAGGAACACAATTCCTTTGGGTTCCTCCCTAGGATTTTTGCCTGTCCATTCCAGTCTAGAAAAAAGAAAAAAAAATGAATAAAAGTTACCCTTATACAAGCATCAGTTGGTTTGCTGTTGAAGAAGAAGTAACAAAAAAATATATGCCTTTTTGAGAACAAGATGTCATGATGTGATGTGAAGTAGGGATCAAGGATGGTGCATTATAATATTACCCCCTGTGGGCTAGAACCATTAGTGACATTGAGGCAGTTATCGATTTCCTATCATTTGCTTCACACTTTCATCAAGCAACGATGCTTTCTTTTGAAGACGCTTTCTTTTTTTCTCACTCCCCCTGTTTTTTCCCAACCTCTGACTAGGTATTACTGTCTAGATTATAGAGTTTGTGTGTTTTCGCCCTCACCTTTCCAGGCTGTTATTTATTGTATATATTTTGAGAAACTAAACGTTCATATTTTAATAAACGGGGCTTTGGGCCTTTGCCCTTAGCCATTTAAACTCCATATTATGCCTTTTCTCTTTGTGTTGAGCCCAGAAACGAGCTCAGGTAAATGCATCTCATTATTTTAGTATTTGACCTGTTGACGAGGGAAGGGAGGCATAAATATACAAATCGTTTATGCAAACAAAAAGTCCAGCCACCACAAGGCATTCATAAGCTTTGAGATAAGACGTTTTAGATTAGAAATACCATCTCGTCATTTTAATTCTATCCTACTAAAGGCAAGAGCAAATCAAAATTTTGTAGCTAATGCTAGCAAAGGATAGCAACACTCTGGACGATTCAAGTGCTAGCCAGGATGATGACTTGTTATCAACATTGTGGCCTCCTCAGAAAGAGCTGGGCTGCCATATTAATTATGTCAACATTCTCGATCAAAATTTCAACTGAAATTTTTTTAATAACTTCTGTCTTTACACTGCAACCCGAAGGTGTAATACAACAATCTACTGTGTAATATGCTTGGATATTTTGCATGTTCTATTTCCCTAAAAAGGGAAAATGACATCACAGTTGAATCATAAAAAGTAGCAAAACAAAGATAGCAAATCAGAAATTAATAAGGAAAACATAGAAAACCACTCAAGCTGAACTTCAGCTGGGTGATCGGTTTGCTATGCATTTTACTTTTTATTTTGGATTTTTTTCTGTTCTTTTGTAAGTGGGTGTAAAAAGCAATATCCTCTTAATATTTCTTTCATTTCAGTCAGTTGTGTCACCAAATGGCATGATTTGCCATTTGTTTGGCCCAGTGGAAGGGAGAAGACATGATGCATTTATGTTAGCTGAAAGTGGTTTCCTGCCAAAATTAGAAAGGAGAATAAATAAACCAAATGGTGAACCTTACATTATCTATGGTGATCCTGCCTATCCAGTGAGATGACACATTTTGGCCCCATTCAGAGGTGCAAGACTAACACCAGATGAGGAATACTTCAACAAAGACATGAGCACTGTCAGAACAAGTGTGAAGCGGGGATATGGAAAAATTGTCAGATATTTTGCATTTCTTGTTTTTGACAAAAATTTAAAGGTGTGTTTACAGCCAGTTGAAAAGATGTATGCAGTGGAGGTAATTTTAGCTAACTGCCACACATGTTTGTAAGGATCACAAATGGGAAGTTTCTTTGAATTGGACCCTCCAAGCCTTGAGACATACTTGAATAACCAATGACCAATATTCCTGCTTAAAAATGTATAAAAGGCTTTGGCAGAATAAGAGCTGTTACAGTTAATATTCACAGTTTGTTTCATGGCCTATAGAATCCAAGCCAATACAAAGACTATTGTTGAAATGTGTTACAGTGGAATTATACTGACAAACAGGGTTTATGAAAAACTGTAAATTTTCAAAATCCTAAAATAATGCAATTTTTTCAAAATATTATTTAAAATGGTGATTGCATAGCATTTTCTTTGATTAATTGATTGATCGATTGATTGAATTATTGTTTTACGAACTGAGTGAGTGATTGATTGATTAATTGATTGATTGATTGATTAATTCATCTATCCATCCATCCATCCATTCATTCATTCATTCAGCAGGCTTTTCATTTTCTTTGACGTTGCACCCTTCACCAAATAAGTAGGAGCAACAAGGGCAATTTGCACTAACCAGAACGGGTTGAGGGACAGATAACTGTTTCGTTTCATCGGAAGAGTCCGAGGATATGGTTTTTCTTTTGCTCAAAAACTGACCGAAAAAAACGGCCATTTACCAAAAACAGAGCAGAAAGATCGGCGGGCGGCAGCAACGCACGTCTTTACGTCACCATTACTTGACCCCTATGCCTTGTTCCTGGCGGGCTATGATTACACCATTGAATACAAGAACACTAAAGTTCACAGTAATGCCGATGGTCTTTCCCGCCTTCCACTCGTAAAG